TTCCTGCCAGCCCCTTTAGACCATCGAGGTCCCCTCTCCCCCCGCCAAAGCCACCATGGTGCACGTGATCGGCAAGGACTGAGTTTCAGCAAGGACAGCCCCCTTTGGGGTCACACACGCACACAAAATTTAGGAAGATACCGTGTGCGAACACTCCATGAGGCAGCTGGCCCCAAGAAGTAGATAACCCTGTTTCTGAGGTGAGAAGGCTGCCTGTAGGGCAGATGTGTCATGTTCCCACACAAGGCCAGATCACATGGCCACAGAACTGACCGGGAAACTCCCAGACGTCAAGCCTGGGACAGGGTGCCCCATGCACCACGAGGGCCCAGGTTTCTACGGGATGAAGAGCTTTTATTCACTCGGGCTCTGTCCCTTTCCCAAATCACCTAGCAGAACAGACAGCGGAGGCAGGTTGGGAGGCGACGGGCTGAGTGGCATTCCAGCCTCAGAATGTGACGGGCAGGGGGTTGGGGGGACGCCGACACAGCGAAGGCACAGCCTCTGGTGGCAAACCCGGTCCTGCTCCTTTAAAGAGCCACAGGTCAGCATCCGGAGTCCAGACTGGTCTGGCAAACCACGGGGCCTTGTGTTTCAGTAAGTGACCTTTCAGTCGGTGCTAATTGAGGAGGGCTTGCCTTCATGCCAGACACTTGAGGCCCCGCCAGGGAGGAGGGAGGGGGCCTTGCGCCTGCTTCTTCCAGTAAAAGGCAGGCTTCTTGGCAGCGGTCGGTGTAGAAGCCGCGTTGCTATTGTAAATCCTGAGCTGATTATTGCAGTGCTTGTTCTTAAAAGTTTCCCAAAGATGTTCCAGCCGAGCTGTGAGTTGCAACACGATTGTTGAGTTGTTTATCGGCAGGAGGAGCCCTCAACTCTTCTTTTGAGTCTTGGACTCAAGAACTCTTGTGCACCAAATATCCCAGCCTCTCCCTCCCGCACAGGACAGGCTGAGGGAGGGCCCCCACGGCCGGGTCTCCCGGGTTGAGAGTCCCAACCGGGGAGTTAACTGAGCGAACGTTATGGGTTTATTGGGTATCAAGAATAAGGAGGTTCGAGAAGACTAGGAGTTTGGTTTTGAAATCCCCCTAAGCATTAGCAAAACCCCTTGGGTCTGGCAACCTTCTCCAGCTCCTACTCAGACGGGATCTCCACCCGAGGGCTGGGCCACCCCTCCTGTCTGGGCCTCGTAGGAGCCGGGCCTGCCCCTGTGCCAAATTGCTAGAGTTAACATTCGTGTCAGTGTTTCCATTATAAAATGCCTTTTTCCCTCTTCATGAATATATAACCCAACTGTTAAATCACCCTCACTGCTGTGGACTGGCAGACACTGTGTTTTCACTTCCTCTGGATGGAAGAGGAGCTACAGGACCCTGTCTGGATGACACAGGTCTTCAAAATGCACCTTCCAGGTCTCCAGGGCTCCTTCTCCGGCCAACCAATGTGGGAAAGGGTGGGCCGCTCTGCTCCACCAGGGACTGTCACTGGTCCGGGTAATTCCGTCAGATGCGGGGAGCTGCCCAGCCAGGGACCACTACCCTTGGCAGTGGCCACGCAGGGAAAACCTCCGGAACCTGTGTGTGAGGGTCCTAGACCCAGCAACACGCTGGTGCTGGTAGGAAGAACACTGCGACTTCAAAAGGCTCCATTTCACAAGCTGTCGAACAGGCCAAATGACCCGGCAGCCGGGGGAAGGGAGCTGGACGCGTATCTGGTCACGTTTCACGCCGATGCAACGCGATGCAACGCAATGCAACGTGTCCGCCCAATTCTAAAAATCCTTAGTAACACTGTTTAATATACAAGAATCAAAAGTACAGCAGTTGTACAATGTAGGAAAATTTAATACATACTATATAAACAACATTATTTACATCAGAAATCACTAGGACAGTGGCATTTTTCACAAATATAAATTAATTACTGTTTAGTCAACAGGTTTGAAAAGTCCACAATTTTACAATAAAGAAAAACCATCTGTCCCCAAACGAGTGGGGTCAGATGGACTAAAGCAGCCTGGACCCTTGGCCTGGCTCTCTCCGCCTGACACTGCGGCCCTCAGACGAGCCCGGAAGACCACCAGTGCTGGGCCCCGGGCCACCATTCCTGCTGACGAGTGGATTTTGGTCTGTAGGATTCCAGTGTCCCCATATGAATTCGTAACCGAATCGCGTGTGCACCACACATCCTGATATAGCTCTCAGCCATCAGGCTAGAGTGCCTGCAGCACGATGCGAGAAGTGTTCTGGCTTCCCATGAAAGGGCCAACGCAAGGACTAGGAGAGAGGGGGACCAGGGGCCGTAAGATGGGGCTCTGCAGAGGGCCTGGCGGCTTCTCTCCAGCATCTCCGAAAGACCGCAGTGATGCCTGGGGCTCTCACCGCACCCCTTCCCAGGGCTGTGGGATACCATGCTAACCCTTGTTCCACACTCAGACTTCAGGTGATGCCAACTCCCCTCTTCCTCCACCCCTGCAGTCTCCACCCAATTACTGAATCTTTCAAAGCTAGGCTCTGTGATATCACCCTCACAGGTTCCTGGGGTACTTTATCCTATCCACAAGGGAGAGAATTCCTATCTGTGCAAATCTGTTTTTGATAAAAGCATACAATATTCATACTGATTTAGGTCAGTGAGGAAATGCCTCCTTTTTCCTGACTCTTTAAACATACCTCAACACCTACAATAGATGCTTTTATGGGGATACTGTAATTTTATAATCAATTTAACACTGATCTGGCTAATATTGCCTTTTGCTACATCATATGGCACAGTAAGTCCTGAATGTAAACAAAAGGAAGTTCCTTTTTCTTCATGATGAGACATCTTTGGGAATAACTCACATCTCCTATCAACTTCAGAGAAAAAAAACCCTGATGAGTATTGAAACACAGGGCCTCCAGTGACTTTCCTGGCTTCCCAGGGGACACAGCCTGACTTCCCTCCCACAGGGGAAGACATCCTGGGGCTCGTCCCTCCCTCCCTTCCTCCCACCACAGGAAGGGACAAGCCAACCTAGCCCTCCTCTTTGGCCTGGGCAAGAAAGACACAGGGTAGTGTCAGCAAGAAGTTAAGCTGGTGGAGGCCACAGCAGACACCCTCTTCTCTCCCAAGCAGTCACAGCATGTGCCCAGTGGAGTGGCTGTGGCCAGAGGCTCCCAGGCATTCTTTGGGCCGTGGTCCAGGGCATGTTCACCGGATACGAGCCCACGGTGAACAATCCCAGTCCCGAGAGGAGATAAATAAGGAAGGGGCAGACCTACCAAGCTCCCAACATAAGCTGTGAGGACCCAGACTCTCATGTGGAACTCACGCCCGGCCAGCCCCACGAGGCTGCCTGCGATGACCCACCAAAGCCACATCTGCTTCCCTAGGGCGAGCTGACTTGGGAATTTCTCAGTAAAGGCAATAATGGTGCTGCCCAGGTTACCAGCAAGTAAGTGATAACAGTTTTATGAAGTCCTCACAGGTCAGTTCAGGGAGTTTAACCCTGTGCACACCCAATGGAAAGGTGGTCACCAGCTCTGAGCCTGGACGCATATAGGCACAGTGTAGGTTCAAGTCAGTTATTCCACCTAGAAAGGCCTTTGGACAGTCAAACAATACTGGCAAGCTATATTTAAAGGGAATAAAATGGAAGGCCCAGTATCCGTAAAACGTAAAATGAAAGGAGCCTGATTAATTGGTACAACGGACTCGCCTTCCCACTTCTGACTCTGTTCAACCCGAGTAGGACTCTTACTGTCTGCAGCTCAGTCCCCTGTCCTTGGAGGCTTCCTATTTTGGAAAAACTTTACCTTAGGTGTACGCCTTATTTGATCTCATTCTAAAAACAACGGAGTTCAATTCTAACGATCTCTGACTGGGAGTGGGAGCCTGTTCCCAACAGGGACACAGACTTCATCTGTCCACCCGCCCTGTGGGTCAGGAGTTGCATGTTCTGTGCAGTCTACTTCTTCAAGCTGTGAGAAGGGAACTGAAGTAACGAGCGTGGCTGCCAACGCTGACCTGGCGCAACGCTGAAGCCCCGCCCCCCCACCTCCCCCGGGAAGCATGCCTGCCACCCACACCCCTGCCTGGGTGCGCGCTTGCAGCAAGCTTCCCCTCCTCTCCAGGCCCTGCCCTCAGACTGCTCATCCCAGGAATCAGAACCCCACCGGGGATTCCGGGTCCCTGGCCACACCGCCCCTCTAGCCCCTCTCTCACCCCACTCCCAGCCAAGGAAGACCCACGCCAGCTCCAACGCTGCCGAAAACTCACAGTACGCACAAGTCAGCCAGATGGGCCCGACTCTCCCCTGGACCAGGGCAAAGGAGACCCGCTCAGAAGACCGAACCTCTGAAATGTCCAGATAGTGTGGGAAAGGTTAGTGTTGTAGGGAAGGGGCCACTGTGGAAGCTGCTCCCCACCAGCCCCTGCACCAAAGGCATCACAAGGAGGCCCAAGTGTATGGTTCTCCCAAGAACACATGTGAGGAGTGTACCTGCTCCCCTTCAAGTCTTACGAGGCGACACCCACGCCCCGCCCCGTCAGCAGCATCCGTCACATCACAGTGAAGCAGATCACGCGCGGCCCAGCAGGTCCCGTCAACCTTCACACACACGCTCCTTCCCAGCCCACTGCACATGGGCCCAGAGCACACGGACCCAGCAACAAAATCCTCGTGACTCTGAGATCCCTTCTTCCTTCACTGGGGAAACACAGCCCACGAAGCTGGGACGCAAAAGTCACGTCTTCCTCCTAGCACTCCTCGCAGTGGGAGGCCAGGACCAGGCTGGAATGGGAGGGGGTGTCAAAGTGCAGGAGTGGCGACCCAAACCCAAGCTGGACCAAGTGAAAGGCCCCCCCCGCTCCTTGAGGTGCTCCTTCCACCGGCGAGCTGACAGCAGCAGCATGTCCAGAAACTCCACTCACTGGTCTAGATAACTGGCTCCTACTGGATCAGACCAAAAATATCCAGGTGCTTAATGACTCTTGCTCTCCCCTTCATTCCCAGCTGTCCTTTATGTTTTCCGAACATTCCAGTTATAATCTGGGTTGTTTTTCTGTTCTAGTGATCTCTCCAAAGGAGACCTGTGATCCAGGGGTGACTTGGAATCGTGGGGGGATTTCTGAGAAGGGGGCGAGCGAGGGTCTGAGACGGCGGGGTGCAGGGGGGGCAGGGGTTGTTTATACTCCCCCAGTTTGTCTGTGTGGAAAGAGCGGTAATGGTCCGAGGGTCCCTGGCCATGGTAGCCCACAGGGGGGCGGTGATCAGACATTCGTCGGAAATCCTGCTGGTGGTAATTTTGAGGCCGAAATTCATCGGCTCTCCTCCGCTTGGAGTCATGATGGTGCCTGAAACAGAGACACAAGGCTTAGGTGACAGCTCAAGCCCGCCCCCTCCTCCTCGCCCACCTGGCTCACCCTCACGTGCTCATACCCAAGGACCCTTCCAAAGGACTCAGAGTTCACAAATGTTCACATTACTAGGAATCAAAAACAAACAAACAAACAAACAAAAAAACAAAAGTAATAACAAAGGGCTATTTTACACTTATTGGCCAATCCTACCCTACAAAATGACATACACCTCAAGTTTGCAATGAAACAAGGACACCCTTGAATCACTGAAGGTTCTGTAAAGATGCACTCCCTTCAGGAAAACTGGCCAGACCTACAAACATTTTCATATTCTTTGACCTGGCCTGAGGGGAAAAAGAGCCACAGAAATTAATCGAGAAGTTATTAGTAACAGCAAAAGCCACAATCAACCCAAACATTCAACAATAAATGAAGAGTTAAATAAAGTATTTAATAAATTGACTCCATGTAAAGAATAGTAACATTTTTACTTAGCACCACAGTAAACTGCTTGTTATCTTATTAAAAGAAAATTGGTACAAGTCAACAACAAAAAGACAACCCAATTCAAAAACGGGGAAAGGACTGAAACAAACTCTCCAAAGATCTACAAATGGCCGCTAAGCACATGAAAAGACGCTCAACATCTTTAAAGAATATTAATCATCAGGGAAATGCAAATCAAACCACAAGGAGCTACTTACCTGATTCACACCCACTAGGATGGTCATGTTGAACACACACACACACACACACACACACACACACACACAC